CTTTCAGTTTATCACCATTGAGTATGATGTTACCTGTGGGATTGTCATATATGGTTTTTATTACATTGAGGTGTGTCCCCTCTATACCCAGTTAGTTGAGTTTTTAATGATTGTTAAATTTTGTCAAATGCTTTTTCTACATCTAATGTGATGATCATATGACTTTAATCCTTCATTTTGTGAATGTGGCTTATCACATCAATTGATTTGTGGATACTGAACTATCCTTACATTGCTGAAAATAAATCCCACTATCATGGTGTATGATATTTTTAAATGTATTTTTGAATTTACTTTGCTAATATTTTATTGAGGATTTTACATCTATGTTCATCAGGAATATTGGCTTGTAATTGTTGTTGTGTCCCTATCTGGTTTTGCCATCAGGGTAATAATACTAGCCTCATAAAATGAGTTTGGAAGTGTTCTCCTATTCTTTGGAACAGTTTGGAAATTATTGGTATTAATTCTTACTTTTTGGTTGTCTGCTTTGGAACTTTTGTTTGTTGGGAGGTGTTTGTTTAAAGTATGTTTTTACTGAGTTTTAGAGATAGAAGGCAGAGGGATAGAGAGAGAAACATTGATAAGAAACATAAATTGGCTGCCTCCTGCATACCCTCCTCCTGGGGATCAAGCCTGCAACTGTGCCCTGATCAGGAATCAAACCAGTGACCTCTTGGTTCAAGTGTTGATGCTCAATCACTGAGCCACACTGGTCAGGCATGTTGGGAAGATTTTTCTTTGTTTTTTAATCTTCACCCAAGATTTTCAGAGAGAGTGGAAAGGAGGGAGAGAGACAGAGAAACATCCATGTGAGAGAGCTATGTCGATTGGTTGCCTCCCGCATGGGCCCCAACTGGAGCTAGGGATCCAGCCCGCAACCATGATACATGCCCTTGACCAGAATCAGAATCGAACCCGTGGCCCTGCAGTCCTCAGGACAATATTCGGACCACTGAGCCAAAACCAACTAGGGCTGTTGGAAGGTTTTTGATTACCAGTTCAATCTATTTATTATTAATCTGTTTAGATTTTCTGTTTATTCATGATTCAGTCTTGGCAGGTTGCATGTGTCTAGGAATTTATCCATGTCTTCTGGATTTTCCAATTTGTTGGTGTATATATAAGCATTCCTAGTATGTCTTTTTTTTAAAATATATTTTATTGATTTTTCACAGAGAGAAAGGGAGAGAGATAGTTAGAAACATCGATGAGAGAGAAACATTGATCAGCTGCCTCCTGCACATCTCCTACTGGGGATGTGCCCGCAACCCAGGTACATGCCCTTGCCCGGAATCGAACTTGGGACCTTTCAGTCCGCAAGCCGACGCTCTATCCACTGAGCCAAACCGGTTTCGGCCATAGTATGTCTTATGATCCTTTGTATTTCTGTGATATCAGTTGTAATATTTCCTCTTTCATTTCTGATTTTGACTCCTTACCTCTTGGTGAGTCTAGCTAAAGGTATCTATTTAGTTTTCAAAGAACTAGCTTTTGGCCTGACCCGTGTGGCTCAGTGGTTGAGTATTGACCTATGAACCAGAAGGTCATGGTTCGATTCCTGGTCAGGACACATGCCTGGGTTGTGGGCTCAATCCCCAGTGGAGGACATGCAAGGGGCAGTCGATCAATGATTCTCTCTCATCATTGATGTTTCTATCTCCCTCTCCCTTCCTCTCTGAAATCAATAAAAATATAAAGAACTAGCTTTTGGTTTCATTGACCTTTTCTATTACGAGTTAGTCTGTTTCATTTATTTCTGCTTTACTCTTTATTTCCTTTTATTAGCTTTGGGCTTCATTTATTCTTTTTATAGTTCCTTGAAGTATAGTTGGGTTGAAATTTTTGTTTCTATAGCTTCCCTCTTAGAACTGCTTTTGTTGATCCCATGAGTTTTGGAATATTGTATTTCCGTTTTCATTTGTTTCAAGGTATTATTTTTTACTTCTCTTTTGGTGACTGGCTGTTCAGTAGCATGTTGTTAATCTCCACATATTTGTGAATTTTCCAATTTTCTACTTATAGTTTATTTCTAGTTTCATACCATTGTGGTTAGGAAATATGCCTGATACATTTGTCTTTTTAAAGTTCCCTACTATTATTGTAAAATTGTCAACTTCTCCCTTTAAGTCTGTTAATATTTGTTTTATATATTTAGGTGCTCCTATCTTTGTTGGATGCATAAATATTTACAAATGTTATATCTATGTCTGTTACAGTTGGTTTTAAAGTCTATATTGTCTGATGTAATTATAGTTACCCTGGCTTTCTTTTGGGGTCCATCCGTATGGAACATCTTTTTCCATCTCCTTGCTTTCAGTCTATGTGTGTGTTTATGTCTGATGTCTCTTTTAGGCAGCATCTAGGTCAGGGGTGGGCAAACTTTCTGACTCGAGGGCCACAATGGGTTCTTAAACTGGACCAGAGGGCCGGAACAAAAGCATGGATGGAGTGTTTGTGTGAACTAATATAAATTCAAAGTAAACATCATTACATAAAAGGGTACGGTCTTTTTTTTTTTTTTTAGTTCATTTCAAACGGGCCGGATCCGGCCTGCGGGCCGGAGTTTGCCCACGGCTGATCGAGAGAGAAATATTACTTTATTCAATTCAGACATCTGAGTCTTTTGATTGGAGAGTTTAGCCCCTTTTTACTTAATTATTGATAGGCACATACTAATTGCAATTTTGGTCATTGTTTTCCCTCCATTTTATATTTCACCTGTTCCTTTCTTCACTTGCTGTCTTCCTTTGAAATGAATACTTTCTTTTAGTGGTATGCTTCTATTCCTTTCTCATCTTTTGTGTATCTACTATGAATTTTTTTGCTTTGTGGTTACCATGAGGCTTACACGTAACATATTTGTAACAGTCTATTTTAAGTTGATAACTTAAGCTTGAACATATTCTAAAGTTCTATATTTTTACTCCCTTCTCCATGTTGTTGTTTTTTTAATCATGTGTATCCCTTAGGGAATTTTATAGTTTTTTTTTCTACTTTGTCTTTTAACCTTCATACTGGCTTTGTAAGTGATCGCTCTTTGAGGAACTTAATAAACTAATTCTAAAATGTATATGAAAATGCAAAAGACCAAGAATAGATAAAAATATTCCTTGGGGGAAAAAAATATGGTGGGAGAATTTACTACACCAAATATCGAGAATATAGTATTGTCATAGGATAGCCAATAAAACTAGTGGAAAACAGGCAGAAATAGACCTGCACATATATGGACACAATTTCTGACAAAGATAGCAAATCAATAAATAAAAAAACATAAAAGTGCAAGAGGCTTGAATAGTCACAACCTAATATGCTCATCAACAGTAGTGTAAATTTTATTGATATTCTACAGAGAGGGATAAAGAGTTAGAAACATTGATGAGAGAGAAATATCTATCAGCTGCCTCCTGCACACCCGCTACTGGGGATGTGCCCATAACCAAGGTACATGCTCCTGACCAGAATCGAACCCTTCAGTCTGCAGGCCAACGCTCTATCCACTGAGCCAAACCGGCCAGGGCAACCACATATATTTTTACTGTCTCCACAGTTTTGCCTGTCCAGAATGTTGGGACATACAGAATGTAGCCTCAGACTGTCTTCTTTCGCTTGGTAATGGTCACTTATGGTTACGCCATGCCTTTTTGTGGTTTCTTTTTAGTGCTGAATTTAATCCACTGTCTGGATGTAGCTCTTTGTTCATCTACTAAAGAACATCTCGGTTGCTTCTAAGTTTTGACAGTTATGAATAAAGCTTGCTATAAATATTTGTGTGCAGTTTTTGTGTAGATGGATATATTTTCAATGATTGGGTTATTTTTTACTTAAACAAGTAAAAACATGTACTTAAAAAATTTTTACTTATTGATTTTAGAGAGAGGAAGGGAGAGAGAGAAACATCAACTTGTTGTGCGTTCATTGGTTGATTCTTGTATGTTCCCTGACCAGGGAAACTCGCAAACTTGGCATATTGAGGTAATGCTCTAACCAACTGAGCTACTGGGCCAGGGGAACGTGTACTATTTTTATAGCCACAAAAAAATAACTTAAGAAAATCAGTACATTCTATTATATGAGAATAGACAAAGAAAACATTGAAAAAAATTTTAATTGATCCATCATAAAAGCATTGAACAAGCAAATAATGTTAATAAAAATTTTTAAATAAAATATTTAAAACAAAACAGCAGTGCAGAAAATAAGGTGTTTGCACAATTATGCACATTTAACACTTCCACATTCTTTTTGGAACTCAAGCCTTTAAATTTTGGAACCATGTTAATTTACAGGCAAATAAAAGAATGTAATGAACATATTCAACATGAAGTTATAACCTGGAAAACTACCTCCCTAGAGTATTATTGCCAGATAGAAATTAAATGTTTTTTAGAATCAACAATCTGAATAATCCTTTGCTTTTCAAAGTACCCAAGAATTATACTAGAAAACTGATTTTTAGAGAGATTAAAACATTTAGGTGTATCTACATAATGTCATGTTCTCTGGCCCATCAACCTAGATATATTTATTCACTAACGTTGCTTCTGATACTATACATTTTGTTAGATATCTCAGAACAAGGAAGATGTATTTTAGACATGCAAACATTTTTAAATGTAACAATATGAATCATCTAATTCCAATTGGGCATCCATTTTGTTGATTATTGCTATTATCAGT